TAACATACATACATACCTGCATATATGTTTTGGGTGGGACTCTTTTCATTGTATGCTTTTATTTATTAGAATTTTAAATCTTATTTATTCACCTTTCAGTGTTAAAGTCGTTAAGGAAAAAAGCTTACAAAAATGATATCATTATTTTAAATTGTCTTACATTAATAGTAATATTATTCATAGGAGCCATGGTAGTGTAGTGGTAAAATGCTTGACTATGAAGCAGCAGTTCAAACCAATTCCCCCACTCTGTGCTAGGAAGATGCAGCTGTCAGTCAGTCTGCCTCTGTAGAAATAACAACAGCCTCGGAAAATATGGGGAATCCTACTCTGTCCTGTACGATAAGTCAGGTTGCTAGGAGTTGAAATTGACTGGACAGCAATGAGTTTGGCTCTCGGGCTTAAAGCCTGCCACCCAGTGGGTAATAAATCAGAGAGGGTAAGTCGCATGGGAGGAGATTGTCTATCCTCCTATGGGGCAGCTGATGGATTTGAACCATGTGCCTTTGGGATTGCAGCACAGCTCTAGGTCACCAGAGCTCCCGAGCCCTTTGACTAGCAAGACCCAATTGTAAACAGAGTAGAGGGACAAAAACGGGTCATATCATCCTCTCCCACTTGGCCAGTGGGGATTCGCCCCATGTTTAAATCCTTCTAGAAAAGGAGGGGTGCTGTCTCCCTCCAGCTGCTCTTCTACTTCATATCCTTCACTCTCAGTCAGTCTTCCCTTATTTGTAACCCCAGTCTATCACGTCCAGTTCCTCTTTCTCTTCTGTAAAATCCCTTCTAGTGTTTCAAGTTAGTCATTCATTCAGAATCTAAGCACTTACTCTGAGCTCTGGTGGCATAGTGGTAAGGAGTTGCACAGCCAACCCAAAGACAGGTTATTCAAATCCACCCGCTGTTCGCAGTGGAGAGCTGAGCCATGTGTGATTTACAGCCTCTGAAAATCCACTGGAGGGTCAGCTGTGAGAAGGTTCTGACCCAGTGGAATCTGACAACAGTAGAAATGATGAGCTAGGCTGGAAATACAGTATCTGCAAGTGTTTAGTCACGGTGCAATGTCCGATGTGCCATATTGCAGGTCACTGAGTGTGCTGTGGGGACACAAGTACATTGTCACCGCTGTTTCTAGAGGGAACCGTGTTTTCTGGAGGAAACAGAGGAGGAGAAATTCTCTTCTAGCAGCTACATTTACTGGCCACATAGTATGCTAACAGGGAGCGCTGATGCGTAGTCTGTAGCAAGTTGTGCTGCTCGGCCAAAGGCCACGTATCCAGCAATCCAAATCCCCCAGCTGACTTGAGGGAAAACAATGAGCAGTTTCTGCCCATTGTTTCCTTCATTTTTCATAGTTATTCCTCCTCTTCCTGTAGCCATGCTCTTCCCTACAGCACCTCACCCAGTCCCATCACTTTAAATACTCACAGTCTGCATACCAAAGATTCCCAAAAGTTTATTTCCAACACTCACCAAAGCCCGAGATCCTGTGTCCAGCTGCCAACTCAACATTTCTTCATAGTTGTTTAATGGTCATCTCAGACCTAATGTATTCAAAACAGAGCTCTTCAGTTTGTCTTCCCAACCCCGTGCTTACTCCCCTCCTCCGCGTCAGAAACAAGACCACCACTCACCCCACTGCTCAGGCCCAAGCATGGCAGTCACTGATTGCTCCCTTTGCCCTCACTTCTCACATCCAGCCTTTCTGCTCTTCCTCCAGAAGAGATAGAACAAATCCCACCACTTTCATGTCTCTCTCAAGAAAAACTGTGGTCAAAGTCGACCAGTTGGTTGTCATGTTCCAGCTCTTTCCTCCCCCACCCCCATGTCCAGTCCATTCTCCAGCAGCTGTAATAATAGATTTAGAATATAAATTAGGTGTCACTTTGTGAGGTGCCATCAAGTCTACTACAATTCAGAGCAGCCCTATAAACAACCCTGGATGTGCCCATGGTCTCTGCCTACTAATATGGAAGCGCTGCCAGTCTGGAAAAGATCTGTGTTTATTCCCTAAAAATGGTGATCTAACAGACTGTGGAAATATCAAACAATACCATTAATATCGCATGCAAGTAAAAGCTTGCGCATTATTCTAAATCAGCTGAAACCATGATGCATCCACAAAAACAGCCAGAATTTTAAGCTGGATTCAGTAGAAGCTGATGTCAGATGGATTTTGGCTGAAAGCAGAGAATACCAGAAAATGTTTATTTTGTTTTATTAATTATGCAAAGGCATTTGACTGTGTGGATGTTAACAGATGATGTCTAACATTGAGAAGAATGGGACTCCCACCCAGAACACTTAATCATGCTCATGTAAAATCCCTACATAGACCAAGAAGCAGCTGTCTGAACAGAATAAGGGAAACTGCATGGTTTCAATTCAGGAAAGGTGTAAGGGTTGGTACCCTGCTCCATATCTGTTCAATCGGTATGCTGAACCAAATAAAGAAGAATGTGGCACCAGGATTGAAGGAAGACTCATGGACAGTCTGCATTATGCAGCTGGTACAGTCTTGCTTGCAGCAAGTGGAGGAGACTTGAAGCTCTTACTGCCTTTGGTCAAAGACTACAGCCTTCATTATGGATTACATCTCAACATCAAAAAGACTAAAGTCCTCACCAGTTGACCCAACAGGCAAGATCTTGATAGATGGAGAAAAAGATTGAAGTTGTCAGTAATTTCATTTTGCTTGGATTCACAGTCAACACCCATGGTGGTAGCAGCATTTGAGAAATCAAAATCACTTACTTGTTACAAATCTTCCACTAGGTTCGTGTGTAATGAGAATGAAATCCGGATTCCTTCCCATGGCCCACAGGATCGGACACACTTTGGCCTCTAACCTCTCTCTCTGACTTTTCCTAGCCCTTTTCTCTCGCTCACTGAACTTCAGCCACTCGGAGTTTACTGTTTCCTTAAATCTCTGCAAGGTTGGTTCTTACAGGTTTCAGCTCAAACGTTCCCTCCTCAGAACGGCCTTCTCTGGCCACTCACTCTCAATTGCCCCTTCTCAGATTCTCTCTTGTCACGCTGCTTTTTTTTTAATTGCATTTATTGCTGCCTGACATGCGCTTGCTTATTCATGCACTGTCTTTATGTGTTTCTTCATCTCCTCACACGTGAACAATCCAAATGTCATCTGTCTATTTTGACTTCTCTGTTCCCGGTGCCTAGAACAGTGCATGCTGTCAGTACTTAATAAATACTTGTTGGATAAAAACCATTAGAAAAGAAGGGTTCTAGAATGGAAATAAGAAATCCCAAGTCCTACGAAGAAGTTTTAACATGCTTCTTGGAAGTCAACTTAAGTAACATTTTCAGTGGGCTCGAGGCTCTCTGGGTTAGAGCAGTGGTCCCCAGCCACACTCCCTGGGGGATACTGGGTAATGTCTGGAACTGGTTTTGCTTGTCATTGCTGGGAAGGAATGGTAACTAGAGACTTAAGAGGTAGAGGCCATGGATGTTCCTAAAAGTTCTGCCATGCACAAGACAAAACTAAGAGTTCTCTGGGTCAGAATGTCGGTAATACTAAGACATCCTTGTATAAAATACATTCTAGTAGAGTGCACAGGTTAAGCAGCTTGTAACATTGTAGCATAGACCTTTCTGTGATGATGGAAATCTTTGATATCTGCTCTGTCCAGTCCATTAACCACTAGCCATATGTGGTTATTGAGCATTTGAAATGTAGATCTCAAAACTGCACATGCTCAGTTGCAAATGAACAGCTGAGAAACTGAAGTAATTACTCAATTTCATTTTAAGTTTTTTAAAAATTGAACAGCCTCATGTGACTAATCAGTAAGATTGGCACCGGATAGAGCAGGATTCAGGGCTGTTGTACATAGATAGGGTCATTATGAGTCGCAGACGACTCAACGGCACATAACAACAACATGTGACTGATGGCTGCCACATTAGACAACACAGTAGAATCTAAAGGATTCTATCAATTCAAATACAAGAAATGATCCTGGATTCCCCAAGGCAAAAATCCTACAGTTTGACCCCAGCCCTTCTCAACATCTTTTCATTCCCCCTCTCTCTCATTTGCTCAGGGTCAGTTTAAACCTGACAGCCTGGGTGGAGAAAGAAGTGGAGGTATTCCACTTCAGGGTAGTCAAGGAGCAGTGAGAGGCAGGGGGTGTTTGACAAGGCATCAATTCCTTTTAGTTTCTAAGCTGATAAATCTTGATACTGAAGCCTCAGTTACAGCCATTTGAATTATCCAAGGCTGGATTCCTCCACCGCTGACTCAGATTTGGTTGAAAGCTAGGATTCTTAAAAACACAGCTGGGAGATTTCCAAGCTGTTTTGTTCCATGGTCTTTCTTTGTGGAAAGGTTGGTGGAAATCCCCCGTGAGGGGTGGTGGTGGCCCCGCTGGTGACCCTCCCTTCCCCATGTCCATCTCATCCATCTCGAGGCTGCCAGGAATCACATACTTCTTAATGACTCCCTGCTCTCCAGGTTAAGTCTTTTTGATCTGATCAGGGAGTTAATGAAGAAGTGGAATCAGGACTTGAAAAATCAGGCAGAGCATTGACTCAGTGTGAAGAAAGTTAACTCCATCTCATGTCACCTTCAGGAAGAATGAGTTTGGTGCTACTATTTCTTTAAACATCTCTAGTACTTAATTATCTTCCTTTGCAAGGATAGGCCTCAGAGCCTTTGCAAGAATATTGTCTAGCTGGCATTCAGTAACTCGATTTTATTCTATTCTGTTTTCCAGTCTTCAATTTATATTTTCTCTTTGCCATGTAAAAAATATATTTGCATTTTAAAATAATTCATTCAGAGAAAAATATTAAAGAAGTAATAGTACCAGCCTACATGGACCTAGCATATGTCATGTTGCAATTCATGAGTGGCCTCAGAAACTCGCGCTGTGGAGTCCATGTGTTTGCAAGACCACCTCTTAAGCCAGCCTAGTCCTTTCCTGGAGCTGCTGCCCAGCTCTTGTGCTTGTCTTTATCTCCTGCTTTTCATTCCAAAGGTTTGTTTATCAAGCAAAAGTTGGGGGTCGCTGGTTCCCAGCCGTCTGTGCCCACAGCAAGAAGCAAGGCAAGCAGGAAGCAGCAGATGCGGCCCTCCGCGTCTTGATTGGGGAGAATGAGAAGGCAGAACGCATGGGTTTCACAGAGGTAACCCCAGTGACAGGGGCCAGTCTCAGAAGAACTATGCTTCTCCTCTCCCGGTCCCCAGAAGCACAGCAAAAGACAGTTAAGACGTCTACCTTTGGTGCTTTCTTTGTTTTGGGGGACCTGCTAACTCCCCTCTGGTGGAAGTGGCCCCTGCTGTCAATGTGAAATTATTCCCAGGCTTTAATGTTAGCCTCAGTAGAATGTGACATGGGACTAGTCGTGAGGGCGGGGGAAAGGCGACTCACAGGCCAAGTAGCACGTGATGTCCCTGCCCACTCTGAAGTGTGTGGACATGGATGTGGCCCCATGGCCCTGATATAACCTCCTGTTGTCACAGCTTCCCCTCACTGGCAGCACCTTCCATGACCAGATAGCCATGCTGAGCCACCGGTGCTTCAACGCACTCACCAACAGCTTCCAGCCCTCCTTGCTTGGCCGGAAGATCCTGGCTGCCATTATCATGAAGAAAGACTCTGAAGACTTGGGCGTTGTGGTCAGCTTGGGCACAGGTGAGTGGGATTCTTAGCCTGTTCCCCTAGCCAGAGGCCCCTGCAGGGCCTGGAAATGAGACTCTCATTCTTGCAAACATCTTGTGTGAGCAAGTTGAAGATGAGGAGAAAAGAACCTATATTCTCGGCGGCGGTGGTGGTGGTGGTGGTGGTATGTGTCGTTGAGTCACCTGTGACCCATAGCAACTCTCTGTGCAGCAGCTCTGAACCCTGCCCTGTCCGGAGCCAGTCTCATTGATTCCAGCCACACCTATCCCCATTGTCCCAGTCACTCATACGGGGTCTTCCTCTCTTGCGCTGTCCCTCATGCATTCTCACTGTAGCCAGGATGAATTCAGAGTGAGGAATGAGTTGTCATTCCCTGGGGAAGAATCAAAGAGCTGGGAAGAAAAAAAATCGAGGCTGTTTCTGCCTTCAGGTCCTAAGAACAAACAGCCTTTACCCTAGTTCCTTTGGAAATTTCACATTTGTGCTCACCTCCTTCCTAGGGAATCGCTGTGTGAAAGGAGATTCTCTGAGTCTGAAGGGAGAAACTGTCAATGACTGCCATGCAGAAATCATATCCCGGAGAGGCTTCATCCGGTGAGCAGCCCTTGTCTCCTCCTCCCTTCACACCACCTCGGCCCCTCAGCCACCACCAGAGCCTCTAAGGCGTTGATCCCTGTCCTCACTGACCCCGCAGAGTGAGCCTTTGCTTTCACTCTCCCATTTGAACTTGTTTTGGGAAATCCTCTTCCACTTGCTAAGCCTATTCTCAAGGACGCTCTTTTATAGAAACTCTAAACTCTGAGGCCTCAGGGCCTTGGGGATGAGGCAGCCTTCTCTCTCCATTTAAGGATGTGTCAGCAGCTGACTGACCATGCCAGCTTCTCCTCAGTTTCACTTTTACACTAGTTTAAGGAGAGACTGAGAGAGAAGTAATACTGTCCGCTAGGCACTGAGCCCATTTGTCATGTCCTGCAGTCCCTGTGTAGCGGGGAGGGAGGTCCCCTGTGGAGAATTTCCCAGCGCCTTATGCTTTCTGTCAGTTTGAGAAACTGTGAAGGGCCTTTTCCTTACTTAGACTCAGACAGAGATCAGATTGTAGAAGGAACGGCTACTCCCCAGACTGAACCTGCCTTCTTAACCAGACTCTGTTTTTATAGGTTCCTCTACAGCGAGTTGATGAAATTCAACCCCCAGACTGCAAAGGATAGTATATTTGAGCTTGCTAGGGGAGGAGAAAAACTCCAAATAAAAAAGACGGTGTCATTCCATCTCTATATCAGGTCTGTACTGGCTTCTAGCACCAGAGCTGGTCTCCAGGACCTCGGGGGTGGGTGTTTGAATACCCAAAATCTGACATTATTCAGGAGGCCACACTTAGCTCTATATCTGAGGGAGGGATCTACCCAAGTACAGTGTGGAATGATTTTCCACATGGGCAAATTTATAGAGACAGAAAGTCTCTCCCGTAGGCCTTTATCCACCCCCAGCATCCCGTGGAAGGTTTCAGGAAAAGGCCCTTGTTTCTATCACATGTGAGTTTTCCAACCCAGGAAATAAATACCTGTGCAGATGAGTTTTATGGTGTCCCCCTTTGGCAGCACGGCCCCGTGTGGAGATGGTGCCCTCTTTGACAAGTCCTGTAGTGACCGCGCTGTGGAGACCACGGAGTCTCGTCACTACCCTGTCTTTGAGAACCCCAAACAAGGCAAGCTCCGCACCAAAGTGGAGAATGGTAAGTGGCACATGTCCTCCCCGCTTCACCCCAAAAGGACACCGTGAGACCCAGACCAGTCAGGAACACGGGCACAGCTGCTGGCCTTTTGCTGGCCGTTTAGTTAGTGTCTTACAAGAATGTTATTTACAAAAAAAAAAAAAAGAATGTTATTTACAGGGAAAAGGAACATCTGGCTAGGGGCAGGTCTACAGAAGATTAAGATGCTGTTATAAATGTGTTCATTTGGGAGATCTTTAAATCAGATCAGAGGTGGAGGTGCCCATCTGGGGCTCAGAGGAGGGAGCCTGGCGGGAAGTGGAAATTGGAATGTCATCTGGCTATACATGGGCATTATAGCCCCATGAATAAAATCACTTAGGCAGGAAGGAGAGAAAAATGAGAACAAAAACTCATTGCCATCAGGTCAGACCCAACTCATAGCTGACCCTCAGAGGCTGTAAATTGCACAGGAGGAGATGGACCATCTTTTCCCTTGAAGTAGGTGCTGGATTCAGACTGCTTACCTTTGGGTTTGCAGTGCAACTCCCTAGCCGCTCCCTACTCACTAGGTGAGAGGAAAAAATGAAAAGAAAGATCCAGAACCAAGTCTTGAGGAGTGGGCAGGTGGGGGCACAAAGCATCTGGTCCCTGTCCTGTCCAGTTGGTGACTTATTCTACTCCTTGTCCACTAGCTTCTTCCCCTCACTGTCCTCTGGGGCCTCCTTACATCATCTCATGTCCACTCCTATTCCCTTCAGGCCGTTCTTCAACATCAGCATCATCCTTCGACATACATCAGATCATGTCACTCCCCTACTCAAAACCCTGTGTAAACATAGTTACAGGATGGCCCAGGCTGTTACTCCTAGATGTATGGCTGGAGACATCCATCCATATACAAACTTGCACATGAGTTCATCACATCATTAAGAGCCAGAAAGTGGTAACAACCTTGTTGTTATGTGCCATCAAGTCACCTGTGACTCCTAACGACCCTATGTACAACAGCCCTATCTATCTATAAACCCTGCTGTGTCCTGTGCCAATCTTAATGCCTCCGACACACCTATCCCCATTATCACTTTACTGTCCATTAACTGATGAATGGTTAAACAAAACTGTGGCATATCCATCCAGTGAGTCACAAAAAAGGATTAAGGTATTAATGCCGCTACCACATGGGTGAACATTGAGAACAGGCTAGAGAAAGAAGCCAGACACAAAAGGTCACTTGTGATTCCATTTATATGAAATGTCCATAGCCGACAAATCCATAGAGGTACAAAGTACAATAGTGTTTACCAGGATTGGAGGCTGAGAAGTTAGGGAGGAAAGTGGTTTCTTTCTAGAGTGATGAAAGGTTCTAAAATTGATGGAGGTAATAATAACACTGACTATCCTGAAATCAAATCAGTTATATACATTTAGAGTGATTAATTGTATGATCCATAACTTAATAAATATCTATAAAAATAAAACAAACGCTATAGTGGCTTCTGACTGCACTTCACAGAAACACAAGACCAGCTGTGAACCCCCAGACCCAGTGTCAGCCCGTGCCACCCTCTCGTGTGTCTGGCCTTCATCAGTCTGCTGTCTGGCTCACTTCTGGTCCAGCTGTTCCTTCTCCTTCAGCAGTTCCCTGCCTTGGAAGGGTGTGTGTCCTTCCGAGCCTTCAGAGCACTACTACCATCCAGAATTCTTGCAGATGTGGTTTCTTGTTTTGTGTCTGTTCCATTCCTTGTCTTATCTCCTCACCTCATTAAACATCCCAGGAGGACAAGGTCCATACTTCATTTTGCTAAGTGTCCTGCCCCAGCATCAGACATAGTGCCTACTACAGAATAGGTTCTCTGGAATATATGCAAACTGAAGAAAAGAGGGTCTAAGTCGTTTAAAACGCTGCACCAGGCTGTGCTTGGCCCTGTTGTCTTTGTGAATCTGACTCAAGTCTCTAATGTAGGGGAGGGCACAATCCCGGTAGAGTCCAGTGACATCGTGCCTACATGGGATGGCATTCGGCTCGGGGAGCGACTCCGTACCATGTCCTGTAGTGACAAAATCCTCCGCTGGAACATACTCGGCCTGCAAGGGGCACTGCTGACCCACTTCCTGCAGCCTGTGTACCTCAAATCCGTCACGCTGGGTAAGGATGGGATGCCGAGGGAGCTGGAACTGGTCTGTTGTTCTAATGCCCAAATCCTGGCAACCTCTCTGCTTCGTTGCCAGGTGTCTCCCTTTTTTGACATGTAATTGATTCTGACCGCCCAGTCTGCCGTGTAGGAAGATTGTTTAGGGAAGCAAGTCAGAGACAAACAGCAGCCTGACACTGCAGTATCTTAATGTCCTTGTGTTCTTGGCCCAATCGTGACCCTTCCACACTGTTCCCATATCCTGGGCAGCCAGTCAGAAGGCGCTTCCTGACAAGGGAGCTGTCCCTCTGCCCTGTTTTCTACCTTCAAACCACCCCACACCTCTGCCTTTCACAGCATATGACGCAAACACACCTTTATACATTTTTGTACTCAGGTTACCTTTTCAGTCAAGGGCATCTTACCCGTGCCATTTGCTGCCGTATGACACGAGATGGGAAGACATTTGAAGATGGATTACGATACCCCTTTACTGTCAACCACCCCAAGGTACGTAACACCGTCGTTTCCCCTCTAGCTTTTCCCACTTTTCTAGTAATCCCGTCAGCAGAGAGAAACATACGTAACGGCCCAGAGGAGCCCTTAGTGGTGTCCTGAGAACTCGCCCTCTGTTCCTCTTGGGTTGCCAGGGCTTCCCTGACTGTGCTTGGAATTAACCTGAATAGACGTGGGGTTAATATGTCTAGAATTTGCTTAGTCTTGGCCAAGCAAACCACTGCCACCAGCTCAATTCTGATTCAAGGCCACTCCGTCTGGTCTTCTAGCCTGGAAGTCTTGACAAGAGCGGGCTGCCTCTTCCTTCTTCCACTGAGCACTGGTGCCTTGGGCCCCTTTCCTTTTGCTCAGCAGCCCAGCACTGATGTGCAACACCACAAGGAAGGACTCAATCTTTGCTAAACAGGCTACTAAATAAGGGGGAAAGAGAGGCACCACATCCCTGTTTCTCATGTGTCATGAGTCATGAGTACCTGCTTCGAAACTACTCTGACGAGTTCCCATGTTTCTCCTGGCATCCCTAGGTTGGCCGAGTCAGTGTGTATGATTCCAAAAGGCAGTCCGGGAAGACCAAGGAGACAAGCGTCAACTGGTGTTTGGCTGATGGCTACGACCTGGAGATCCTGGATGGGACCAGAGGCACCGTGGATGGGTGAGGAGACACAGCAATGTATGGCCGGGCCTGACTCAGGGAGGGTCTCCAACGCTTGCCAGCTACCTCCCCTTCCATGCTTTCTCCACCTTGGGTCCACCGCTTTCCTAGTCTCAGGTCAATGATCGTGGTTTTATTTCCCCAGGCCACGGAATGAATTATCACGGGTCTCCAAAAAGAATATTTTTCTTCTATTTAAGAAGCTCTGCTCCTTCCGTTACCGCAGGGACCTACTAAAACTCTCCTATGGTGAGGCCAAGAAAGCTGCCCGTGAATACGAATTAGCCAAGAACTACTTCAAAAAAAGCCTGAAGGACATGGGCTATGGGAATTGGATAAGCAAACCCCAGGAGGAAAAGAACTTTTATCTCTGCCCAGTGTAGTACGAGTCAGGACAGGCTGGGGGTATTCACACTGGGATGAGAGAGGTGGGTTGTAGCTTTTCTCACCACATTGGTCTAGGTTTCTGGGTTCTCTTTTTTTGTTGTTTTTTCCACCCTCCTTTCTTTTGAAAATGAAACCAGGATTGCTTATCCTGAGGACTTCAGGTTTCTGTTCATCCCACTTTGGGATTGCTGGCTGGGTCTGGCCAGGCCCCTTTTTGTTTTCCCAAGTGAAGATGCAAAGACTTTGGGAAGAGGAAAAGGGCTCTTTTTCACTCAGAGCATAACTATCTGCAGCCATTTCTTCTTCAGTTGGTTGGGGTTTTTTGTGTTGGTTTTTTTTTTCCCCTTTTTATCCATTTCCTCCAAGTTTGTGTTTGCTACACTGGCCTCTTGTGGTCTTGATGAGGTTCCAGTTGAGTCTTATTTGAATCATGTCAGGGATTGATGGTTTCAATGACCGTGCAGACCCCTCTACCCCACTCCTCCCCTTCTGGGTTTCCTGCCTTGTGATCATTGTTTCTCTTTTTTTCTACCTGAGAAGATAAAGAGGTGACCTTAAAGTCTTTGGTGAAACCTTTACAAGGGCAGGAATTGAAAGCTGCAGTGAATTAATTCCTGGTGCCAGTGGAAGTGTGTGATGGGCATCCGCAGATAACAGCACCGTGATCTTTGGATCTTGCACTTTAGGCAGCTGGGAGGGCCCAAGAGGCAGGGAAGGGCCCCTTCCCCAGACAGCAGGGAGCCTCCCACCAGCCAGACTGCGCCCAGGACCGCCTAGGAACAGCCGAGCTCCCTGCAGAGACGGGGGGGTGGGGGCAAGCGTTCCTCGGAACACTGCCAAGCACCCAGCTGTCTGTCCTCTTTGAGCTTTTCTAGGAGCTGCCCTACCAGTGGAGGGAGTGAGGCCAGTAAACCCAACCAACTAGCAGGATGAAACTCGGGACAGATCTGAGAGGGCAAGTCACCTCCACTCAGATAATTAGGACAAAATAGAATTAACAGGGTGAACAATCATGTTGGGTCCAGTCTGTTCCACCCAGCGTGTTTCTCCTGACAGTGACCCAAGGAAAACTGACAAGTCATGGGTAAATTAGGAGTTCTTAAAGGACCGCGGTAGATGTTAATTTTTGCCTGTTACAGATCATCTGTACTTGCAGATTTTAAATCTGCCGTACTTTTCCCATTGACCCAGTGCGCTCATTTTACCAGATGGATTCTTCCATGTGGACTGACACACACAGAGGGTCCCCCCTGCCTGTTAGGGTATCTTTATAGGCTTGATATGTGGCGAGACAGTAGCTTAAGGCAAAAGGGCAGGCTGTTCTCAAACTCTTGTGAGGTGAAGCCACCTCACCCCAATACTTACAGTCAGAGCCGTTGGCCTCTCTGGAGTCTGGCTCCGAGCACCGCTCAACCAGCCAGTCAAGAGAACTGGAGGCTCTGCGTCCTCCAGGACCTGACCTGTCTCTCCTCTAGATAGTATATCTTCACCTGTGAATGTGCTGACTGCGCACCCACCCTTCCCTCCCCTCTCCCTCCTGCTGACCCGCTGCAGACTACTGACTAGTTCACCCCGCGCCATTTGTCCCTCCAGCAATCGATGTGTCTACCTGTGCGCTTTTATTCTTTGTGGCGATATCACCCTCTTCCTCTGACCAAATATATCAACCAAAATAAGAAGATCCAAGTTTCTAGAACACACTAGGGATGTCCTTGCAGAACACCCACGTGTCTGGAGCAGCCGGTGGGGAAGCAGCCTGTCTTCCGGATGGAAGGGGCCCACTCCCTGGTCGTCTGCCTCTGCCAGAGGCACATAGTGAGTTCTGGCCCCTCTGGGGCAGGTGCTGTGGCTCCCGGCCACCACAAGGAAGCTCATGCCCTGGCTGTACAGCCTGCAGGGCCCTCACCTGCTGGGTCCTTGGGACAGGTGGTCTGTCCGGGATCACCTGCAGAACTCTGGCCACTGCCGCCCCTTGAACCAGGAGCACAGGAGCTCTCAAAAGATCAGCCCACTTGCCCCCAAGCTGTTATATAGCCTATTTCCAGTATTCCATGTCTGCTGTAGCAAGCCAGCAAAGCATCCCTGAGCCCCCGTGTCCACTGGACGTGAGCCTGTGCCAGGCCCTGTGCCACCTGGTCACCACACCCAGGACCCCGGATGGAGAAGGCAGAGCTCCAGCCAGAGGGCTCTGCTTGTTCCTCTGTCAGACCTTTGTTTTTAAAAATCAGGAGCCTTCTTTTTTTCTTTTTTTTAAATGATTTTTGTAGTTGATTTGTCTGAACTGTGGCTACTGTGCATTCTTTGAATAATCAATCACTTGTAAGAATTGTCGCTGCTTAAAGCTTTTTCCTTTCCTCACGCTGAAGAGACTTTGTTGGTTATTGGAGTCTTGGTAGTGACTCCAAGAGCAAAGTTGGGATTAGCCCAGGTGTACACTTGGGTCCTGTGATGGCTGCAGTCCAGTTTTATAATTCTGCTTTTATGTGTCTCTTGATATCAGTGACTAACAATATACATTCCTCATAAATAAATTTTAAAAAATATACAACTTAATTGTTAGAGAGCCTTGTCTTGTTTCGGGGAGAGGGCTGGATGGGAGCCCGTGGCCCAGATCTGGTGACACTCCAGAAGCACTGAGTGCAGGACAGAGGTGAGGACAGGCTACATGGACACTCTGTAACTGCCTCCCCTGCTCCGTCCAGTGTCCAGCCCAGTAAATAGATTGTCCCAGGAACTTGATGTGCAAAATCTCCAGGCCCAGACTGGAAGGATGAGGGGGATCCTTAAGGCAGTATCAGAGTATACACACACACAGTCCTGGTGGCTCTGTGGTTAAGCACCTGATTTGCTAACCCAAAGGTTGTCTAAACCCGCCGACCACTCCACGGGCGATGGATGCGCAATCTGCTGCCATGAAGATGACAACTGGGGGCCCCAGAGGCAGTTTTGCTCTATGCACAGGGTCCCCGTGGGTCCGAACCAGTTGAGGGCAGTGGATTTTTGGTTTCTCTCCCTGCAAGCTGTTTCTTATCCCACCTTCCAGCTGCTTTGCCTGCGGGGAGATGCTTATTTCCTGGCCCAGAATGACTTGGCTGGCATCTTATACAAGCAGATAAATCATTTGCATTTTATTTCATTCACGGCATCCAGACTCTCACATCCTGAGTTTCAAGAGATTGCACCACTTTACACAATGTAATTTAGAATGGAATTTCTCCAAGACTCTCACAAACTTATGACACCCATGGGCATCAAGGACCTAACAGGAGGCTACCTTAGGTCAAAATGAAATCTCCTCACCTAGGAGACTTCCCATCATATAGCCGGAACTGCAGAGTCCAGGGGAGTTGGCAACGTTTGGGACTGCATCGAGTCAAAGCCCAGTCTCCACACGGGCGTCTTTCAGCGTCTGCTGCAGTGTGATGCTGGGTGGGCTGAGACTGTTTAAAGGTGGTGGGGGGCACTGTCTGCCAGCCAGGGGGTACCCAAGTGTCAGCATCTGACCTCTGCTCCCAGGCAACTCCTAGTTCTTAAACTACGGCAAATGCTTACACCATCTTTCCATTCCCAGCCCTGCTGGAGGCAGGATGCCCTGGGAAGGACAAAAGGGCATTTTCCACAAGTCATTTCCAGGGACACTCACTCTTCCTTTTACCCAAGAGGCCTACAGTTTAATAGTTTACAGAATCTGGGTCCCCATCAACCCAGTGTCCCAAAGGCAGGTCTGACCACCATGCAGACTGTGGCACTGACTTCAGGCCATCCCAGCCTCCTCTGCTGGGCTCAGTCTACTATAGATCCAACCACTTTACCATTTAATTCCCATCTAATAAACTTGGAAGTTAAGAAAAAAACCCACAATAATTCAATAGCAGACTGTCACCCATTACCTTTTTTTTAGATTCCTGTAATGCCTAAACCACTCATGAACCCAGTTTCTTCTGCACTACCCTGTCCCCCTATTGCTCAGCCCTGGCCAGGCGTGGGGGTAGGGGTGCTCCTCCTCATTCCCACAAATAACAGAGCAGCAACAAGAGATCTTTGGAAACAACCTTCTTTACAAGAATCTTTACTTCCAACTGAGCACGGCCTGGTCTGGCCTAGACCAGTTCAAATATTCCAGGAGTGCAGATGAGGGCCAAGGTCAGTGTGGGGAAAAGTGCACCAGGAGTATGGAGTGAGGTGTCAATGATTCCAGACCTGCAGCCCCTTAGGAACCATGTCATTTTCACATTAGCCTCTTGGGTCTGTTGGGATGAGAACTAAAAGGTGGTCCCTGTTCTGTCGAGTCAGGGTCATGAGCGGGAGGCTGGTCAGTAACAGGTTGGGACAGGGATGACTCGCTGGGACCACCGGCTCTGGGAGTGACGTCAGAAGAGGTCTGCTTTCTCCCTAAGGTCCGCTCTCAACAGCTGTGTCACTTGGCTTTTCTGAGGCCCCATTATCTCATCTAGAAATCGAAATCCTACCCTACAGGATTGTGAGGCCTAAGGAAAGTGCATCGGGAGAAGTGGGCTCAGGGCAGACCCTTTGTAAACGCTATGGAGAACTGACTGGGAGGGGCAGAGCATGAGCCAAAGCCCCCAAGCCTTTTATTGCCTTAGAGGGAAATGATTTTGCCTTTGTTCCACAGATAGTCTTCCTCCACAGAAAACTCCATCTGGGGCTACCCAGGTCTTGTTTGCTTTTCCATTTTCAATAATTTGGCACAGCTGCCAGGGCGCTGCCTTGCTCCTGCTGCACTGCCAGCCAGCGGGACCCAGGCAAGCCTCATTACATAAAAATGGCTATCAGATCACCTGTGGCCCTGCCAGCTCTGTTGGCTACAATCCCAACTCGCCTCTCCTCATTGGGCCTCTTGGGTCTGTTGGAATGAATGTTAAAAGGTGGTCCCTGCTCGGTCCAGTCAGAGTCATGAGTGGGAGGCTGGTCATCTCTGCCTCCCCATCCACACCCTGTGCTGAGCTGGGCACTGTTATCTAGAGACTGTCCCATCGTAAAAAGCAGGCCAGGGCCTTCCAGACAGCACCGAGGAAGGAGAGAGGCCTAAGAGTGGAAGAGACTGGTCCCTAGGGTGTCTGTGTGTCCGAGAGGATTGGACCACCACACCTGTGCACTGCAGCCCTCCAGAATGGCCACTCCATGATCCTGGCCAGTGCTCTCTGCTTGTGTTGGGTCTGCTCCCGCCCCTCAGCATCAGCTGCCACCCCACGCCCCCATCCCTGTGCTTGGGGGTGAAGCAGAAGGCCCAGCTGGACTCCAGAGAAGAGAATGACCTGTGTCAGGCCAGGCCCTTGGGGTGCGCTTGGAAAACTAACCTCTGTGTGACCTGCCATCTGCTGGCCCCACACTGAGCACGGCTAGAACCACAAATTAGAGCCAGTCAGGTGGGGGAGGGGGGGAAACGGGTGGAAGGAGGCCCCAGGGAAGGTCCATCTCCTGGAGTAGCCAGACAGCCAGCATCCTGCTGGCCCCTAGGAGCCAAATCAGGATACAGCCTCCAGAGGCTGTGCTTTCGGGGGCAGGGGGTGGGGGGGCGGTGCTCTTGGCAGCAGCAGGCCTGTCCACGTGTCCTTCCAAAGTTTTGCTTCAAAGCTGCTCAGTATTGGTTGGAAGAAGGAAATGGAGTAGCCCAAGCAGGAAGGATGGACCCTCAAATAGAAGGAATGAGAAGAAGGTGCCAGCATGGCAGTCCCAGCCTCCTGAATCTGCATCTCACCCAACGCTATTTCAGGCACAAAGGCCGGATGGACTTAAAAGCTGAAATCCTCGATTTGTTTCCTTCAAACAATCAGTCAGTTCAGAGTGGCCCGGAAAGCAGGACACTCACTCCAGATGGATTTCAGGGCAGGGAAGGTCGGCGAACCCGTCTGTTAGCTGTCTCCCGCTCTGCATCTGTTTCCTCCTCTGTAACGTGGGTAGGGTCTGCAGGAGGCTCTCCCGGCTCTCCTCCTCAGTGAATGTGCTATTTACACCCACGAGGTCATCCAGGCTCAGAACTCACAGGCCCTCCTAATACCCAATCGTGTCCACCACACGCTGAGCCGAGTGAGGAAGTTAGGGATGTCTAGTGGGTGCTGAGAATTCTTCCTTGGACCAAAAGAGGGTTTAGCAGGCTCTGAGCCGCTTAAGAAAGAAGGTGTGTGAGGCTGTGGTGAAGCCTCCCCAAGAGGCTGTGTCAGGCCCAGCAGTCCTGTGGGGCAGGAGTCCCTCTAAGGAACACCCAGCCTGGGTGCTGATCACTCAAGCCAAGTGGATGCCAAGTCCCATGTAGGCCCTCTTTTTCCTACTGAGCTACCACTGTATTAGGTCAAGCCTGGAGAGTCCAAGCCCCTGTCCCTCCCTCAATCCAGCTTGACCTCCTCCTGCCATGTGGGGGCCTCAGAAGGATGCCTCCCCTTGTTGGCGCCTCCCAGTTACACTTCTCAAGGTGGAAGGCTGAGACATCTATCTCTATTTAACCTTTATCCTCTACTGTCAAACACTACTGTTTGGCTTGGTACGAGAGGAGGAGGAGAAGGGCCAGGGTGCGAAGCCGCTGGGCCAGCCTCCAGGTCGGAGCTGACAGTGTGAGTGGAGGTGTGCACATGGGAGGGGCCCCAGATGAAGAAAACTGATGGATCTGTGGGGGCAGCACCCCTCTGCCTGGTAGCTTGTTCATCCCTCCTCCACCTTGCACTCTTGTACAACAGAGGACGAAGGGGTGAAGGAGCACGGAGCTGGAGTGGGCCTCACTTGGAGCTGGGAGCCGAGTGATCTGGGTGGAGCAAGGTTGTGGCAGTGTAGTTCTGGAAGAGCGGCTGCAGGAACATCCCAATGGTGCCAAAGACACACACAAAGACAAATATCCAGAGGAACAAGCGGTCAATCACCATGGCGACATACTTCCAGTCCTCGCTCACCTGGATGGAGAAGATGGAGGGCCAGGTGTCAGTCACATGGTTCAGGATGGAAGTGGGATGGGTCTATACAACTCCCACCACACTCCCTCATCACCCCTTTTCCTTTATGACCCTAGGGAAAAGCATGGCTTGGATTTAAAAACCCCCAGGGGGAACTCTGACGCCTTAACAGGAAAGGCAGGTGAATCAAATCCATCAGCTGCTCCAAAGGAGAAAGATGAGCAATCTCGTGTGATTTAGCATCTCTGCAAACCCTCTGGTGAGTCTGTTCCAACCATACGGCACCTCACAACAACAACAAAAGCCCCTAGTGACCCCACTGTCTTCAGGGCCTATACAAACTTTCATGTCTAGAATCAAGGCCCAGCTACCGGACTCTGGCCCTATATAGCTTTGTCTTCTGCACCAAACCCCAGTGTGCCCTCTCGGGTCTCTCTTGCCTTTGGATTTCCTCTGGGTTTGGAATCCCATCCTCCTTTTTCTGCTTGGCGAACTCCTCTGTTGCCTCCTCTGTGAAAGTTTCCCAGACCCCCCGATGAGGAGCCACTGTCCCCTGGGGGTTTCCTCAGCTCTGTGTGCACATCTCCATCAGAATATTTTTAATGCACTGTATTTTCCTTTCAATTTGCTGTCCCTCTACTAAGCTGTGAGCTCCTGAACCACAGGACACAGTGTGTGCAGTAAGGGGATGCTGAGCTACTGAACAACGGGGAGCCTCTGTAGGCCTTGCTCCTTATGTCACTCCACAGGAAGCCCATCCATCAACTGCCCTTCAGTCATGGAAGCCCCAGAGGCCAAGGTTCAAGTCCTAGAGGTGAACACCCTCGGAGGGTTGAGGGCCAACCACAGGGCTTGAATGAAGGCCCAGCCTTTCCTCAGCTGCTCAATCCCAGCTTGAGTCTGGACACTTGGACACATGGGAAGCTGGGGTCTGGCCGGCTCTAGCGGGGAAAGGAGTCAGCTGCCACCTTCCTTTAGTCAGCAGCTACATAATTACATGTTCACGGGTCAAGTGGGATATTCAAAGAACAGATAAGAGGACAAAGTGATGTGGTCATCCTGTATTTCTGCATAGCCTTGATTTTCAAGTAATGGCCTGGTCATTGACACCTATGTCAACAAATGAAAAGTCATAGGTATAACAGAAATGTTTGGGGGCTTGGGTTTTCTTTTTTTAAAAAAAGAAAAAAAAATTCCAGGCAGAGGGACTCTTATTGTCAATGCTCTGGATGAAGCAGACAGGCCAGGGACATAAGCAAAGGGAAGAAGGCCCATGGTGAGGTGAGAACTCACTGTACGTGTTTGGATGGAGGGATGCAGAAGCGAACACAGGCCGTCAGGAGACTGCCCTGATCCAGGCAGGAGCTGCTGGTAGCCTAGAACCAGGGTGGAGGTGAAGCAAAGGATGCACTACTGAGTGGATGGTGATGCTTCTTACTAGAAGATGGGAACTAAGAGACAGCAAGCTAGCAGAAGGAGAATGTAGATCTAGCAGTCTGCTTTGGAAATGTTACCTCTGAGATGCCAGTGAAACATCCAAGTAGGTCACTGCTTCCTCAGCACCTGCCTCACAACATGCACAATGCATGAATGGACTGCAGAGGGGCTGGGCGTGAGGGGCACGTGGTAGGCAGAGACGACCCTGTACCTCAGCTCTCAAGACTTGACCTTACTGCTGACCTTACTGCTACTGCTCCCTCTCTTCCAACCTTAGGTCTTACCCCTTTTCCTCTCACTGAACCTGTAAAGAATTTGCTGGTCCACATTCTAGTCCTATATCCAGCACTTCCAGATGCCAAAAAGGGGAAGCTCTTAAATCCCAGTCCATAAAGGGTAGTGCAGGAGCCTGCCTCTCCTCATTATTTAACTAGAATAGCAGGTCCCTAAGGAAACCTGGTTAGTCACCATGACAACAGCTGAGCCTTGGCCAGGGATCCAGAGACTGACCACAGGGACAGCTCAAATGCGAGGCTCTCAGCAAATCACACACCCCATCAACACCTAGCCGCAGTGCTCAAGTCCCCTTTATAGTGGGATTCAGGGTGAGTCAGAGCCCAGGCCCCCAACCGGCCCCACCTCCATAAATATTTTTCATCAGGCCTGCCCCTGTCCCAGGAGAGCAGAAAAGGGATACTGATTTGGGGCTCGTCTTCTCTGTGGGGAGCAGACTTTAACGCTTCCTCCGCACATACACTTTTTCTGCTGCCCTCAATCCTGTCTGCCCCCTTGGGGCACACAAGAAACTCATCACCATTGAGCTGGGAGCTGCAATCGCAAGAATTTGCGAAGGTAAGTGGCAGGGAAGGGCTCTGGGGTCAGAGCCGCCACAAAGCCGCAAGCACCTCCTCCCACCATGCCACCACCCTCCCAACAGTCACAGGGCACCAGCTGAGGCATTCTGTCCTAGATCCTGGTCCTCAGGAAGCTACAAGGTCATCCAGTACCTATTCCTACTTAAGTGGCACCGCATCCCCGAAGCCAGAGAAGAGCCCAGGCCAAGGTCCCCTCTTGCTGCCTCTGTCCTGTCTCAACCACCTGGGGTCTGCGCACCGTTAGCTTAGCCGATCTAATGAAGGAAGGTGGCTGCTGTCCAGACCCCAGGCCCTGGAAGTCCGAGGCCCTGACCCTCTCTGTGTCCTCGTGCCCCCCTGGCCACACTCACACTCTGGTCGTCGTCCTCACTCCGCATGTGGTCTGCAATGAAGCGCACGCCATCCACCGCCTCCCGGAGCCCGCAGCCGCACGGTACTCCAGGGCCAGCTACCGGAGCGGGCTCAGCCCCGAAGGCCCCTGCGAAGCCCTGTACGGATGCGCGGTTGACGTAGCACGTGCACGAGTCGGCCCCGGGGGCTTCGCGGAAGAAGAGCGAGGCTCCCGCTCCCTCGCGCTCACGTTGGCGCCGGCGCATGCGCAGCCGCTGGCGGGCACAGTGGTGCCGCGGTTGCTGCATGAAGAGCAGGGCCGGCAGCTTCTCCAGGAAGACGACCTTGACCCACGGGGCCATGGTGTGCGTGGTCGGGGAGCGATGGTGCACGTTTAGCACACACACGCTGGTGACGATGGAGAAGGTGACAAGCACCATGGTGAACATGAGGTATTTGCCCACGAGGGGCACGTCGAGGGAAGTGGGCGGTACGATCTTGGAGATGAGTAGCAGGAAGACAGTGAGCGCCAGCAGCACAGAGATGCACAGCGTCATTTTCTCACCGCAGTCGGATGGCAGGTAGAAGACCAGAATGGCCAGTGAGGTGATGAGCACGCAGGGGATGATGAGGTTGATGGTGTAGAAGAGCGGTTTTCGGCGGATGATGAAATCATATGTGATGTCCACATATGTGGAGTCTTCAGGATTCTCATTGCGCCGGCCCGGCAGTGCCACGATGTCCCACTCACCACTGGGTGTAAAGTCATCCAGGTTGGCAACATCACTCTTGAGTACCAGGTCGATCTCCGTGCGGTCATAGGTCCATGAACGGAACTTCATGGTGCAGTTCTGCTGGTCAAATGGGAAGTGCTTTACCTCGATCTTGCATGCACTTTTGTAGATGGCAGGAGGCAACCAGAAGATGCTCCCGTCATAGGAAACCACAGCGTTGGAATAGAAGGATACTTCATACATGCCATCAGCACTGCCAAGGAAAGGGCACGACCCAGTCAGCTCTGGCCTGATCGATCACCCATCTCTGCTCATCAACCCAGCCCTGAATAGGAAGTGAGGGAAGCGTAGCTAGGAGATATGGGAAAACCTCAGATTCGGGAACATTCAGAATAGTGAGAAGTGGAGTGGGAATTGAGCAAGACATGGATGGAAGTGGGTTGGCGAGAAGAGGTATCCTAGTCAGGAGGCCTCTGTAGCCCATTTGAGGTAGGAAAGGGTGGATAGAGGGTGGGGAAATGCATGCATGCATGTTAGTTAATACATATATGTAAACTGGTCGCTTCATATAGAGCTGGAGAGATTGGAAGGGGGGCAAGGAGGCTAGAATGAGAAAAGAAGCCTCAAGCAATAGAGTAATACAAGGCCCAATAGGAACTTTCACAATCAACCCCAGGGTCCCCTTTACCTCAGGTTCACCTACTTGTTGTACAGGACCACATCTGGGAGCCAGATGTGCTTGGATGGGAGCCTGACTTTCTTCATGTTGTCATACTCCTCTGGCTTCCAGGTGAGGCGATAATCCTCCCACTCCTGGGAAGGGAGAGAGAGAGAGAGGCAGCACCACCTCTGCCTGGGGAACAGCTTGAGTTCGAGGGCAGGGACCAGAGGGACTATATCTGACTTGAGGAAGCTTTCAAAAGCCAGACTCTCCCCACAGTGACTTCCTTGCCGAGGCTCATAAAATACTTTCTCACTAAATTTTCACAGGTTAGCTTTTAGACTTGACATCTTAGAGTAAAGTGAGAGCAGGGTCAGAGAAAAAGAGGAAGACCCTTGACAAAATGAATTGAGTCAGTGACTGTAACAGTGGGCTGGAGCATATCAGAGCTCGGGTGACACAGGATAGGGCAAGGTTTAGATCTATTGTTCGTAGGGTCACAGTGAGTTATAGTCAACATGACATCACCTAACAACAACAATCACGTATTTTATAAATGAGAAAATGAGTCTTGGAAAGTTTAACAAGGTCACAGAGCTAGTAAGTGCATAACCAAAATTCAGATCATGTTATTTAAGATTGTAAACTCTCTTATGTACTCAAGATACTGAAATAAAGGAGTATACACCGGAAAGCAAAGGTCGTGGGTGGAAGGAGCACTAACCTGGGTCAGCCAGACATTAGTGGTCATGATCTGCTCCCGCTCATGCTGTGGGAAAGACAAGAAGCTGACAAGCAGACCCTCAGCCTGTGGGCTCACTGTCCCTTATATCCCCCCCCCCCATGTCTCACCAACACTTGGAAGCTCCAGAGGAATCAACACAAACATACACACATTCCATCTACGCTAATTTCAGTGTCTTGGCAGACTTTGGGATATCCTCCAACTCACCACACTGATGAGCTGGGCTAGTGACACCATGAGCTGCACTGTCACCAGCTCAGAGCCATTGGTGGCTGGACGGATGAGCTTATTGTAACGAGAAGGGTCCAGGAGATGTTCCACCAGTCGTTCCTCTGTATCTGTACCCCAGACCCCTGGGCAGGAGAGACAGGAGGTAAATAGGCAGAGAGGCACACCCAGGACCTCACTCTACCCAGGTAGGTGGGACAACAACCTAGGTTCAACCAAGGGGCCATAACTTCCTGCTTCTTCATCCTTACAGTAACTGTAAATGCTTAGGTTACTCCACAGAAGCCTCAGAACAAGACCTTCATAGGAAAGCCCCTCTGAAATCAATTACCAAGAAGTCCAGACAGAACCCACAGAAATACTCCAGACTAAGAGCCCACTTTGCAAGGATTAGAAGAGATTTCTTTTTCCCCTAAGGTCTCAAAGCGTGGATTCAAAGGTTTGAGATTTCTGCTACTGTAAATTCCCTCAGTGGATGCTTATGACTAAAGTGATTTTGGACAATTAAGGAAAAGGGGACAGTAATGTCCCACCACACATCCTTTCTCTTTAGTGCCCTTTCATGTGTGCAGGTAAAGGTAATATTACATGTATCCACATGTGACCATATGTGGCCATAATCCCCCCCCCCCTGAAAAAAATTAGTTTCAGTAGACTAGGTTGCTTGAGATCTAAGTCAGGGCATAACCTCCCTAAGTTCTACACATACAGGAGCCCAACCTCCAGAAGATGGCATGGGAGTGTGGAGAGCCATTCTAATGTACTTTCCCTTTGTACTTGCCCCTCTATTCTGTACCTTCCTGCAACTCTGCACTCACATGATCCCACCCCTTCAAGTACTGCTTCCGGGACCTCTTTCTGGCAGAGCCTTTCTCTTCAAGGTTTCCAGTCCCACCCTACCTCGGGGCTGAGAAGTCAATTCTCTCCTCCTCCTCTGTGGGACAATCAGACTTGGAAGGCCAAAGTAGAGAAGAAGAAATGATGGGGAAGGGCACAAGGAAGGGCTCCTGAGCCAGGGAGATTTCTTGAGACAATTGTTTAACAATACGCTGAATGGCATCTCAGAGCCTGCCCTTCTGCCACTAAAGCAAGCCTAGCCTGAGGAGCTAGTTCCCCTCCCTCCTTCTCTTTGTGCCTTCACTCATCCCACCACCACTCTCAGGTTTCCATTTCTCCCTTGCACCACGTATTTTCTCACCCAGTTCAGTTTCCTAGGCGCACCCTCTAATCCCCTAGTGTCTCTCCTTTTACCCCAGTAGGTTCCCCTATCAATGGGATCGTTCATTCCTTCTTTCGGCCTGGTCGAATCTGAGCCACTAACTGAGGGAGGAGAACCTGGAGGTGCTCGTCCTTACCTGGGCACAGCCCGAGGAGGCTGAAGCTGAGGAGCAGTGCCATAGGGCCCGAGCGCCGGGCCATGCTGCTGGCATAGCTCGCCGCCTCGCCCAGACCGCTCAGCTCGCCACGGGCTGGAGGGCCGCGGGCGGGGCGCTGTCCGTGGTGCTGAAGCCGCGCCCGCACCGCCAGCTCCCGGCTGGTCTTGGGCCCACGTTGGTGTTCGCCGCCTTTGGTGCTGCTGTGGCAGCCGCCCGGACGATTCCAGGGGCTCAAGAAGCGGACTGCGAGGAAGAACCACCTTCTCGCTTATTATCCTGGGCTGAGCAGGCGGAGCGTTTTCCGGCTCCCCTTCTAGGGAATAGGATTGGGACAGTAAGGGGGTGGAGTCACCGCTCTGTAGGCGGAAGCGCCGGATCCCCGGAAAAAAAGGGGGTTTCTGGGTGAGATGTTCTTTCTCTGTTCCTGCCCATTTAGAACGTGTGTGAGAAGCTACACGGGATGGTGGAATTTTAAGGCCCTGTAATTGGAAGAAGGCCAAGAGGAGTTTGAGAATGAAGACGCAGAACCAATCAGCTGGCGGGTCGGGACCGTTTAATGCAGGATAGTGGAGGACTAGAAAGATGTGAGTCGGAAAGACCTTTTTAAGGTTCCCTGGTCTTTATCCACGCCAATTCAAACGATCCTGCTCCCAGAGAGGACTGATGATACAGCAGAGAAAATGCATTTGAGACCCGTAGAGGGTCTGGGCTTGCTAATTTAAGAAGGCAAACTTTCCAGCTATGGAAACTGGGGAAAGGGACCCCTCACCTGGTCTCTTAATTAATACTTTAAAGGCCGGAGAGTGGAAGGTGGGGAAGTCTGGACTGTGCCTGATGAGAAATTGATCCTGAAGGTTTTGAAGAGTAGGAGGCTAAGTGACCTTTGTCAATTTGCAGTCACTCTCATTCCATTCCACTGCAGCCTTTGACCTCTAAATGGCTAGGGGGATCAGATGACAATTTCAGAGGCCTGCTGGACAATGAAACTAACACAAAGGAGCAAGCTGAAATGGAGAGAGGTGTCAGAACTTTGTTTCTTTGATCTTTTAGCTACTGAGCCAATAAAGTCCAACCCCACCTCTCTTTAAAAAAAAAATCTTTAAAGCTCCTTTGAACTGGGTTTTTCAGTTTCATCTCAAAGATTTCTTACTAAAACAGCCTTTATTCCATCCATATCTACTTCTCTAACCTCTAGTCCACACTCTAACCTTTGGCAATGTCTTTAAATTCCTTGTGCATTCTCTTCCTTTCAGCCATCCTATCTTTCTTTGCACTTGATATTTGTTTTTTTAATTTTGTAATGGTTTTGCATACAAAACTCATACATTGAGTTTCACACTTTCCTTTATTCTCATTGTTTCATACAGTCATTCCCACACATTGTATTTTACAAAATTAATCTCCATTGAACTAGGCCCATCACTATCCTGTCCTTTCAGCTCCCCACTAGATCTTTCCCATTTCTTTCACCCAGTCCCTCCACCAAATTGTATGACCCCATGATGGTGATGTCCCCCCTGCCTACCCTCACCCCTCTGTTCCTTCCCCTTCCCTCTTCATGCACATTTTACTAGTTATCCTTCCATTTTTAACTATAATGGTCTTTATTCAGAATTTGTCCTTAGGAGACTGAATTAGCCCATGTAGCATAATGCTCTCCAGTCTCTCCCATGTTATGTAGTATTTTTTGAACTTGAGGATATTTTCAACACTAAGGGTTTTGGTTTGGTTTTTTACTCTTTTGTCATTATTTTCTTCCAGTCACCTTCTACTAACTTAGAGCATCTGGCAAAAATGGCAGTTTCTAAGGAAGCCATAGGGAGCATAGGTGGCATAGTCCATAAAAAGTTATGCTGCTAACCTAATAGCATTGTCTCTCTGGAGGTTCAAATCAACAAGCAACTCCACAGGAGAAAGATCTTCCCATGAAGTTACTGCCTTGGAAAACCTGCTGGAGAGTCAGCTGTGAGTCAGTTCAACTTGATGGCAGTAGGAGTGAGAAAGCCTCAGCCCAAAGGTGTTCAACTTTAGCTCCATGGGTCATCAAGCCTAGCTCTGCCAAGTGCCTGGAAGTACCGTGTTCTGCCAGCAAGCTTCTCATCTGAATGTACTCAGCTCTCTCTCTCTGTGAGTTCAGAAGTCCACTGTAGCCACATTGTTTGGTGAACCAGCAAGCCCACTGCACTCTTATTTTAATTTTCTAGTTTTCTGTCATTGCTCCTCAACAATCTTGTGCTCTCTCCCTGAGTCTGAGGACATACTCCACTCCCCTCTTTCCTTAGTGGTAGCGAGATGTACCTCTCACCCATTATCCTGTATGTTCATAGCCACCCCCCCCAGTTGGGTCCATGAACCATACTTGTATTCTAAGCAGGTTGACCTATTCCCTTGGTGGAAATAGTTCTCGTCCAGTCATTTTGTAAAAGGTAGTTAAGTAATTCATTGTATAACAGTAGATTATACAGGAAACTTTATCATGTTGTTGTTGTTGTTACGTGCCATCAAGTCACCTGTGGCTCATAGCGACCCTATGTACAACCGTCCTAAACCCTGCTCTATCCTGTGCCAATCTCACTGTCTCCAACACACCTACCCCTATTACGCCAGTCACTGAATCAATCCATCTCATAAAGGGTCTTCCTCTCCTGTGCTGTCCCTCCACCCTCCCAAATATGACGGTCTTCTCCAAGGATTGGTCCCTCCTTGTAACATGTCCAAAGTATGTCAGACAAAGCTTCAGAATACTTGCCTCCAAGGAGTAGCATGATTTAACCATCTCTAGGATGAACCTGTTCATTTTCTTAGTAGTCCATGTTATATTCAATACTCTTCTCAAGCACCACAACTCAAAGGCATCAATTCTCCTCCTATCATCCCTAGTCATTGTCCAGTTCTCTGATGCATAACAAAGACCATGGCCTGTATCAGATGCACCTTAGCCTCCAGAGAGACACCATTGCTCTTCAGTACTTTAGAGAGGTCCCTAACAGCAGACTTTCCCATCACAATATGTCTTTTCATTTCCTGCCTACTGGTGCCAAGAGTGTTGACTGTGGAGCCAAGCAAACTAAAGCTGTTAACAATTTCAATCTCTTCACCATCCATCCTGATGCCAACTAATAAGTAAACTATGCAGAAAGAAGTACTTTTTGAGGTAGGCCATGGCCCAGGCCAAAATGCAATTCAACTAATTGCTGTCATTTCAAAACCAGCCCACAGCGGTACTTTGGAGGCTGTAAACTGCTTGACAGGAGATTCCTCATCTTTCTCCTATGGAGCTGCTGGTGGATCCAAACTGGCATATAAGTGCTGCCTCTAGGTTAGAAGCACAGATCTGTGCGCACGACATCACCAGAGATCCCTTTGATCCAGCCCCATGTCTATCACTTTATGGTGACTCAACAGATGAGGAGAAGACTAGCATCTTTTATTTTGTAAGACAAGATTCTTCTTTAAAAGCTCAGCTCAAATCAGTTTATCCAACACACCCTTCAGACAGAATTTGGAGTAAATGTCAGAAAAAGACTGGAATGGAAGTGGGGTGACCACAGCCATATTATGTACATGGAAGTGAGCATTAAGTCTGCATCCACTCTCTCAGGGCACAGTCATGAATGAAAGCAATCCTGGAACCAAGGGAAGGGGTGAAGAACAAAAGCCTTCAGGAAAGGGGAAGTTATGTGAGTAGTCATTTCACTTGGGGAAAGGCTTGAAGCGGAGAAGAAGAGTCACTTTCAACCATTCAGATCAATAGTTGAATATCTGTTTTCCAGAAATTCTGCAGGTGTTAATGCCATAGTGATAAAAAGACAACCTCCTACTTTTTCTCTGATGAGTTTATTTAGTTTTTGGTTTACTCCTAGGTTCCTGATCCTCCTTGAATTGGGTTTTGTGTATTGTCTGAGGTTTGGGTCTTGCTTCAGTTTTCTGCAGATGGTGATCCAATTTTGCAGCAGCATTAAAGAGACTGTCATTTCCACAGCATGAAAAGACATCCAAGCATAATGAAAAACCTACAACAAGGAGAGGATAAAATAGATGAATGAGAACTTTTAAAAATCAAATCCCTATGCACATCAAACAAATCTTCCAACAGGATAAAAAGGAAAACCACAGACTGGGGAAAAATATTTGGCAATGACATATCTGATAAGGGACTCATGTCTAAAATTGATAGAATATTTCAGCACCTCAACAAGAAAAAGCCAGACAACCCATTCACAAAATTGGCACAAGATATGAATAGATACCTCACCAAAGAAGAAATTATGATGGCCAAAAAAACACATGGAAAAATGTTCAAAGTTCCTAGCTATCAGAGAGATTTAGATCAAAACAACAGTGAGATATCTCATCCTAGCAACAAAAGCAAAGTTCAACAGGGCAGCAAACAAATTCTGGAGAGGATGTGGAGAGATTGGGACTCTCACTTATTGCTGGTGGGAATGTAAAATGGTGCAAGCACTAGGGAAGGCAGTCTGGCACTTTCTTAAAAATTTAGAAAAACCAATTGACCTAGCAATTCCACTATGGGGAATATACCCAATAAAGAAGTCAGAGCTGTAATACAAACAGATGTATGCACACCCATGTTTACTGTAGCATTATGCACAATGACAAAGAGATGGAAGAAGCCCAATTATCAATCAAGAAACAAATGGAAACAAATCAAGAAACAAGAAAAAAATTATGGTATAGTCACACTGGACTATTACACAGCAATGAAAACTAGTGAAATAATAAAACACTGCACAAAATGGATGAGTCTGAAAGACATTATACTGAGTGAAATATCACAAAAGGGAAACACTGCATAAGGCCAATGTTATAAAATAGGATTGACATGGGTGGGGTGGGAGTGAAGAACAGGAATAGAGTGAATAGATAATGAACATTGCACTGGAACAGATGAAGGGGAAGACTGTCTTAAAATAATGTATGATTAGACATTACATGTATGACAACAATCTGGAATAAGAAGTGCATTACAAAGTGACTGGGGGGAGGGAATAAGGAAGGAAAGTCTGCATCAATGAATGGATGAAAATCCAACCTTTCTGTAAACTTTCATTAAAATAACAATTTTTAAAAAAGACTTAATATCAGCTATGAGAGAGATAATAATTGATAGCAGAGG